TTTGACACTTTTTTGAATAGATGAAATTATAAGGAGTATAAATATATAAATTTTATTTGCTCTTATAAAAAATTTTAATTTGCTCTAATAGAGGCAAAATAGGCCTTTTTTGAAAATCTATTTCAGTGGCATCACTAATATTGACATCAAAAAAATTATTATATAAAGAAACTATTTAAAATCTATATATAATAAACAATATTAATTTTAAAGAAAGTATATTTGTATATAATAACATATTTGATGCTCCAAAATATACAGCATATGCTATACTTAAAATAGTTTTTCATTGTTAAACAATATAATTTGTTTTTTGAATACAAATTTCAGGTTGAAATGTCAGATTTTATAAAAAATAAACTTTAAAAATTTGAAAATATTTTTAGTTCTCTTTTAGATTCTAATAACAGTTTTAATATTTTAAATTGCAATATGAAATGAAAAAAGATATTCAAATAGGATGTCTAGTTAATCCACTAAATTTAGTTATTTTAGAACCTGATATGAATCCATGTAATAATAAAAATATTCATGATGCAATAAAAATATATAATAATTATATAGAACTTGATTGTATTAGAAGTCTTTATTTAGCATATAATAAATCTATCTTTTGGTAACTTATAAAGTTATATACAACTTACTAGAAATAACTTTGCTTCTAGGTAGATAGTATACTTCTAAAATTATATGTGTTGTATTAATTTGTCTTTTTTTTGCTTATAGGATTTTTAAATTAGCTGCTACTTTAGGTATATCTCATCTAGATAAGCTTAAAAAGGTAGTTAATTACACAGCTACATGCTATGTTTTAGAATTATTATAAATTGTAGTAGTGTTACAAGCTAAAAGATAGATCAACAAAATTGACATAGTAAAATCATGATTGGAAAACAATCAATACAAGAAATATTAATTTATCAGTTAAGATTATTAGCTGTAAAACTTAGATTATTGATAATATATCTCAGTGATAAGCAGTTCTTGGCTGATAGAATTAAGCCACTATACAATAAGGTGAGTTATGTTTAAGCCTCATTAGTCCTTTAATGTTATATAAAAAATGTAACTTAGATAAGGTTGGTTACAACACTTATGTGCAAGAAAAGGGCACATAATATCACTAACTTTATAATAATTCCTTATATTATAATTAACCAAATCACCAACATCAAGCCTCTGGCAAGTTGTTTAATTACCTAAAATCCTATATTTTATATTATAGATTATTGAACATAGAATTCACTCTATAACAGTAGGTAATGCTTTTAATCAGTATACAAAAAACTGATCTATATAAGAATGTGTAATATTCAAAATGATAGTAATAATATAGTAAAAGTTTGGCACTTGATTTTTGTTAGACAGGTATATAGTTAGGACATAAGCTTGAAATTCTATGAAATTATGAAATGCAAATAGAAAATCTTATTTCATTTGCTCTGCTTTTCCTAAAAGTAAAACATAGTAATTATGCACAATCTATTACATATTTTTTATCATATATTAGAAAAAATCCTATTTTACAACAAATACTTTGACATGTCTGTTCTGTAAATTTAACACGTCCTGGCTATTGCTTTGCCTTTGATAAGGCATTTACTCAACCAGATTCTACCCAACACCCACTTTTTAAAGAAATATCTCAAAACAATAAAGAAGGATTTCGACACCTTTTTAGCTGTTATGACGAGGGAAGAATTTGGTTACAAGATATTTACAAACAAGATATCGAAAAATCAATGCCACATAATACAAAAGGCTAACGCAGTGTAGATGTTGTTATTGAAACTTTTGCTCAACAAAAGCAAAAAAGTCAAAAAAAAAAAAAAAGGATAAAGTTTAAACAATCTATTTTCATTATATAGAAATTATATAATATATTGATATTATTTTTCAAACAATAAAATTTAAAATGATATTTGCAAATATATTTTTCTTTTGCAAAAAAATAATTCAAAATAAGGATAAGCGATGTGGTCTTTGATAATATCATATGACATGACAAACAAAACTCGGTATCTGTTCGTATATCAAATTTACATGTCAAACAAGGAAGGACATGTTGTAACAGAACGAAGATCCTTTTAAATTTTATTTTTAACTGTTATCTAAACTTTAAGAACAAAATGTAATTTATTATAGACTTTAAATATGTATTTTTCAATTTTAGACATTCTTTTGTATAATGTTACTAAAGAATGCATCGATTTACATAAAAAAAAATTATGTGCGGCATTTTTATTTGACTAATAAGGATCTGCAGCATATGGGACATTTCCTGTGACCGCTAAGTATAACGTGTTGGCATTTGACAATTGGACAATTGGACTAATGAATATCATTGCTGTTCCAGTCCAATTGCCAATCAATTATCTAAAATAATTGGTTAACCCAATTTTCCAGTTGTCTAATTGCCAACACTGAACACAGTGCTGCCAGTGAGACACGAAATATAATTTTTTTGCATCAAATTTTAGAAAGAATTGAATTTAGACTGGATATGACACATATGTGCGCTACAAAAATAATGTACTGTAATTCATCTTTCGACATTATTTTTAATATGAAGATTTGACGTAAGGGTCCCATTATACATAATTAAAACAACAAATAACATTCTGAAATGTTACAGTACCTTTTGATATTCCATAACATCTTAAAAAAGTGTCTAGGTCTCATATTACAATGTGGCTTTATTATAAAAAAAAATCGGTTAATAAAAAATAGTATCGTTGACTACTGTATACAGTACCCGGTTCTTATTCAAGAACTCCATTTTTCAAATTGAATAGTACTCTGGATACTGTGTGAAGAACTGGATACTGCATTTGGGGAATATCATATTAAAATCAATATAGTTATACCCCGGGTCTTATCCAAGAAACAGGATGGTAGGGATGGTGAATAATACCCGAGTTTTAATCATGGGGGTATTATTTTGGGGGATACTGTATACAGCGGTCAACGGTATACATCAAATAAAAATTATCTCTTTAATAAATTCTTTATTATCCGTGAAATAATTGAAGTCCAATACCTCTACAAATACTGTACTTTGTTCTTGGTTAACCATTTACATTAAAAAAAAGCAAATCTTTCACATAAGACATAGTGTTTAGGATAATATAATTTGTAAGAAAAAAACATATAATCAATTAGAATTAGGCCTTACTTAAGTAAAGAAGGTATCAATAGCATTGACACGTTCCGTTAACTACTTTAGCAAACCTTTTTTCTGTGAATAATTTACCCATAATTATAATTATTGTTGCCTTTAATAATAATTAAATATTCGTGAATCACTTATTTTAACAATCAAAAATATTTAAAAATTGCATGACCAAGAAATACATAATAATTACAGTAATACATTCAAGAAATTCACAAACTATGTAAAACCTTTACGTGCCACATAATGAATACCGTATGAACCAAAATATCAAATACTGTTCCAATGGTATGTATCCAATGCCAGGGTGTACGCTTCTTTGCTTCCCATCCCTGAGCCGCTGACCAAATTAATACTTTTTCAACGTACCGTCCCCCAAAATATACATTTGAACTTTGTGGCTGCTCAACTTCAGAAACGGCAGCAGACGAATCTTGACTGCTAGTGCTTGTCGCATATTCCTTAAAACATTCTTGATCATCAGTAGTAAATTGAGTAAATTGGGTGGGAGAGAAATCATCATCACCAGCAATTGTAGATTGAGTTTTTTCTCTCAATAAGTCCAACAATTGACTAGCTGTAGCATCATCACCGAGTGAAGGCGTAAAATGTTTGAATTTATCTACTTTCTTTAATTCATCATGAAAATAATAATCATCTTGGAATTTTTTATCATTTAAACCGGTTATTTCCTCCTCATTTGATGTTAGATTTGACACGTTAGAACTTGTCCTATTAAACAATTCGTAAATATTATTTCGTGTGATATGATCAGTAGATACAATCGTTTCTCGTGTGTACACTTCTTCATCTGTTGTATTATTCTCTTGCATCGGCATTGTTTCACGATAATGGTGCAAAGATTTCAAGATGTCACTGTAGCCGGTAAACCATCCACAAATATAAAATAAATGGAGTGCGACATGACCAACAAATAAAATGGATGTGATCAAGTAGAAGAAAGTCATTTCATTTTCGTTCAATCTGATACAACTCCATTCTTCACATATAGTTGACTGTACATAATCGAATAATTCAAATCCTTTTTTTATAATATCAATTTCCATGAAATCATAATACAGATTTTTATCCTGTTTTTGAATCATTGGCGTCATAGAAGTTTCCCATTTCACAAACATCAAATTCAACATAATATATGAGATCAGCACAGTTAATAAATCAACCCAGAAATAAATATAACGATTCCAAAGTTGTTGAGCTGTGTATTGACCACCTGGTAACGGGATACTAAAAAGTACTTTTAAATGCGCTACTATATGAAAGAGTTCTGCAACGAGTAATGTGGTGAATAATATACAAGGATAAATCATATTTTTCGTGAAAATAATATTTGATTTATGTGAGAAAAAACGAGTGAAAAAAATAATGCCAGTAGGCTTGTGTGAAAATATAACACGCTATGATAAAAGTTTTTTTCAAACAAAATTTACTTGAGTTTTATAGAAAACTCTCGTGATTACGCAAATATGATATCAAACATTCTTGTATAGATTACGATATTACATTGTAGAATGATTTATTAAATCTTGGGCAATAATTTAATCACAGCTGTATTAAATTCTTTTTTAATCAAATATATGAAATATATATGGTGTAAATTAATCTATAGGCACCAAATCTTAACTATTAAACTTATTAATCAAATAGTATCTGTTGATCTAATATGCCAATGTATTCAAAATTCTTTCTAAAAATTGCTACTACTCAACGAATATTTGAAATTTTGTAAAAACAATTCCTGGTATATATTATACAGAACTATAGAGTCAAGTATTGTTTTTGTGGAGTTCGAAATATTTGTAGAAGAGTAGCAATTTTGGATGTCTTTAGATGGTTTGCACCATACCTGATTGGACAAATTGATTACAAATGATATCATGACCGAAGATAATAATAATAACGGGAGTTTCAAAATTAAAATCCGAGAATCTTATTTATTTTTCCGATATATAATTCAACATAGTAAAAATACTATTGAAAAAATTCTAATTATTTCGAAATGCGCCACTTATTTGTTAATTTTGAAACACAAACAGTAACTATTTAACATATTATTAATCCCAGTATTAAGGCAAAATAAGATATAGCTACTACTAAATTTTGCAAAAGAATTTTTTTTTTATTAAGACGCGAAAGGTGGTTTATAAGTAAAATTATAAGTTATCGACGATTTTTGAAACCCCATTTTTTTTATCATACCGGATTCTGTAATTTAGTTGGTAGCGCAATCTATTTTGTCCAATCAGAAATAACATTTTCATACATCCAATCAAAAGTGGTGGGGAAAATTAGGATGCCCATATAAAATATTTAAAATAGATAACTATGTCACAAATAAATGTCAACGTATGAAACTTAAATTGGACCAAAATAATCAGAATCACCATTCCAGGGCTAATTTAACTTGAATTTTAATTACATACTATTCTGATTTCTAGAGAACGCAAAAATAGCCACAGAAAACGTAAAATTTAGTCCCAATAAATTAACAGCCAATTGTTTCTTGCCAACAAGAAAATTATGGAGTTCGCGATTAATATGTTTAAGGTTCCCAAAAATCGAGATCACAGTCTCGTGATCTTCCTAATAATAAAAATTTGATCGAATTTTTAGTGCACTCAATTATTGGCAACTATGAAATTCATGGACGAAAGAACATGTGACTAGTTTATAAACCTTTAAAAAGATAATAAATTTTTCTCAACGAGTTTTCATTATAAAAAAAACAACGAATTTCCGGAACATTGAATTTATTAACTATAATAAACAACCGTAAGATCCTACTAAAATTCAAATAGAAATCCTTTTCCAGCAAGAAGAATCTAATTATTTACATTGTTGCTATTGACGAAAAATCATCGCAATACTCACCAAACAGAGAAAGCTCTGACGATTCTTGCAGACGTAAATTAATATAATTAGTGATACACAAAAACGCTCAAGAACTAATCAATCACACTTTTCGTGATAATCATAAGCCAAAAGAAATAATTTATCACCTTCTTATAATGCTTGAAACTATAGGAAATGTACTACCTTCACATACTAATTACATTTGAAAACAAATTATTCTGATCCACAAGGATTGTATTATCGTTAGGAATACAAAATTAAAATCGCACAGCTTATAAATTTTTTAGTCAATTTTTTATTGTTAATAATTATAATTAATTGCTCGTACTAATTTTATTGAAGCATCATTTTATTCAAATAGGGAATTTCGACCAAAAAGATCAAGAAATTACACAAATATAGTTCCCACTGTGGTTGATTGAAAGATTGTGCATATTTAACTTATTAGAGAGCGATTGTCTATTTTGCTATTAATGGGTTTTGTAATGTATATCTATAACGATAAATTTTTTTACGTATTATAAGGAAATTTTTGATGTTTTTTTTAAAAATTAAAAATGTAAAGAAGTTAAAGTAGCATTTGTACAAAGAATTTTTTTCAATATACATATGTTTCTGTAACTAATTTTATTGTAACCAAGATATAAAGTGATTAAAGTAGTATTTTTGCAAAGTGCTTCCGCTAATACTCTTCCCCCTTCAAAGCCAAGTTGATTATTAAAAAGATTTAAGGAAGTTAAAGTAGAATTTATATAAAGAGCGTCTCCTAATGCTTTTCCCCCTTCGAATCCAATCTGATTACCATAAAGCCTTAAAGAAGTCAATGTAGTGTTCTTGCAAAGAGCTTCTGCTAATGCTTTTCCTCCTTCAGAACCAAGTTTATTCCATGCAAGATTTAAAGAAATTAAAGTGGAGTTTTCACACAGAGCTTCTGCTAATATTTTTCCTCCTGTACTACAAAGTTTATTCCATGCAAGATTCAAAGAAATCAGACTGGTATTCTTATAAAGTGCTTCCGCTAAAGCTTTTCCTCCCTCAAAACCAAGTTGATTATTCTCAAGATTTAGAGAAGTCAAAGTAGTGTTTATACAAAGAGCTTCTGCTAGCGCTATTCCTCCTTCTATACCAAGTTTATTATCAGTAAGATCCAAAGAAGTTAAAGTAGTATTCTCACATAGAGCTTTTGCTAATGCTTTCCCACCATCGGAACCAAGTTGATTATATTGAAGATTCAAAGATGTTAAAGTAGTGTTCTTGTAAAAAATTTCAGTCAATATTTTTCCTTCCTCAGAATTAAAATGATTATTGAGAAGATTTAATGAGATAATTGTATTGTTTCTATAAATATTTTCTAAAAACAATGTCTTATTATAAATAATTCCGTTAAAACTTAAATACCTAAGTTTCTTACTTGTTCTTATAAACATTGAAATTAATAAACATTTAATAGTATCTACAATTTCATCATCTTTACAAGTACGAGATCTATTCGTTTTATATCCTTCGAAATAAAGCCAATCTTTAATTCCTTTACTTAAAAAATTACTATCAGATATTTGAATAATATAACTTGTATATTCAAATAATGGTTTTGGATAATTTGGTAAGTTTATTTTAAAAGGTGTTAAAAGAGATTTTTCTTTTTCATTTAATGTTAAAAGACATGTTCTTATAAATCTTTTATCAATAAAATAACCTTTGGGTTTACTCCATAATATCGGTATAATAATTCTACACCATTGACGGTTTACAAGAAGACACAAAAATAAACTTCCTCGACTATTTTGAAGATTATTAAATATTTCTAAAAGGCATTCGTTTGGTAATGTTATCATTTTTTTTGAAAAAAAAAATTAACTTTTTTTTTTTTTTTTTTAGAATTTTAGAACGTACGACGTATAAAAATTGGAAAGAAATTTTTCATTTTCATTAATTATATGGGCTAAAGGTCGTGTTGTACCTCTAAGAAAGATCATTATAATGAAATAAATCGAATTACT